GACTGGGTCCCTCCTGCCCCTGCCCACCAACAGCTACCATGAACTTTGCAGTAACAGGCAGGTGCAGTAGGGCTGCACAGGCAGGGTCTCTCTGGCCCAGGACAGAGGGTGTTTGAATATGGCTCACCGGCCTGCTGGGTGATAAAAAGTTCATGATCCAGCCCCATATTCAAATAGTTGGACACCCCTGCTGTAGACCCTCCGACCCTAGACATTTTCAAGAGCAGGTTGAACAGAGTCTTGGCTGGCATGGTTTAGTCGGGCACAATCCTGCCTTGAGGAGAGGGCTGTACTAGACTTCATGAGGTCCCTTCCATTCATACTTTCCTGTGCTGCTTCTATCTGTAAGGGCTTGAATTGGGACCTAGCTAAAGGGCCTGGCGGTGTTCTGTCTCCACAGGAAAGTAAGGTGTGTAGGGGTGGGACAGGTCATAGTAGCATATGTTATAGGAATGGCACATTTGACTTTTTCCTAGAGCAGCAGTAGCATGTATTTTTAGGAGGGCTTTGCCAGTCTCACTCTTAATCATCCTGTCTTAAACCAGATACTGTGCTTTATGCCACTGCAAGTAAAAAGCAGTATTAGCACCTCCATTCTTCTCTTTCTGTGGATCAGCTTTTAGTTGCATCTTTTTTAATTTGGGGGAACACTATTAAAAGTAAAAACAGGAGTAATGCATCCAAGTCTCCCTGATTTCCAGTAGAATTTGGTACCTACTTCCTTTTTTATCTTTGCAAATCACTTCAGTTTGCACAGCTAAATAGCTGCAAGTGTCTCTTTAGTTTCCCAAGGGTACAGGGAGAATGTCCTGCCACAAAGTATCTGTAAAGTGAGGATTACTTTCATCACTTGGATTTTTGTGCTATTGTAGATATTAATGAGTGCCTCAGCACCAACATGCCATGTCCAGTTGGGCAGATATGCATTAACACCGATGGCTCATATACCTGCCAGAGGATCACTCCAAACTGTGGGCGTGGTTATCATCTCAATGAGGATGGAATGAGATGTGTAGGTAAGCTATAGATACAGATCAAAACTGTTAAATGTATCAGGGAGAGGAGAAGATGTTCACATATTTACTTTTTAACTCAACCTTGTTGTTCTCAGCCTTCCATCCAAGCCTTTCTTCCATCTATTCCTATAGCTCTCTCTTGACCTTTATCTTCCTTCATGTTGCCCCTACAGGTGATGGTCTGTGAGCAATCTCTCATGCTTCCTTCTTTCAGTGATCCTTTCGAACTGTAGTCATATACTGGAATAATTCAATTTGAGTGAAATGTACCCTACTGCTGAGAACCAGCCCACTTGCTCCTACAAAATGTCCTACTTGAGTGTTGCATAAGTTATCAAAATAAGGTTTAAGAGAGTCTTATAGAAGCCTTGTGCTAGTCTTTAGATTAGGGGTGAATGTAATCCTTAGATTGTAAAGGCAAGTACTTGTGTGTGCTCTAAACTTTTAAAAACCCATCAGGGCAGTTCTGAGATGGTGTGAACTGTCATAGCTTCAGTGACTTAGGTAATCTGGGGCCAATTCTACCAGGTTCAGATCTCTCCCATGGATACCTAATATGGTATATAAACATAATTCTACATAGCACTTCTTTCATATAATGTGCTTTCTTTTTTTTTTTTGTCCCTGATTCCCCACTCCCACTTTTATAACATGTATAGCAACATGGGGGTCAAGAGATACCATGTGCTGTAAGACTACTTTACATGGAATTGACAGAGGCATAAGAATGCAGCCAGCTGCTCAGGGAAGCTACAACACACAGGGGCAGCAGCAATTTCTGGCTGCTGCTGTGCACTGGCAGCATTTTTCTGCTCATACCCCAAAGTTGGTGCCCAGGGCAGCTGCCCCATTTGCCCCACCCTAGTTCCACTACTGCTCATTGATTTAGATCCAGTTCTCTTTGAAGTGCAGTGGAGTCTTGCCATTGATTTTGAGGCATGCACGCAGTAGTGTTTCGCAGATACTAATGAATGAAGCCTCACAATTTATCTCTATGTGAAGCAGATACATTTTTTTTGTGGGGGAGGGAGGCTGGTAGGCCTACATGTTCAGTTGACTGCATATTTGTGAATGGTCAAAGATTATAGAATTTTTACAAAAATCTACATTTTTTTTTTTAGTTTTCTTGACAAAAATTTGATTTTTTTAAAGTTGTTTTTGACGCATTTCTTCATGGATAATTTGTGCTTTTTCTATGTATTATTTAGACCTATTGGCAGTTTTTCTTTTTTTACAATTTTTGACCAATATTTGACTAGTCAGCTAACCAAACTTTATTTGACTGGTCAAATACCCAACCCTAGTATTTTTACACTTATTTTATGGATGGGCAAGCTGAAGTAGGAAAAAAGGTCATACAAAGGCAATGCTTTACTCCCACTGCTTGAGACCATCTTTTCGCTCATTTCTCTCTCACTCTCTCTCTTTTCCCCTTAGATACAGATGAGTGTTCATCATCCAACCAGCCATGTGGAGAAGGACATGTTTGTATAAATGCCCCTGGCAGTTACCGCTGTGACTGCAAATCAGGCTACTCATTTGATGCCATCAGTAGAACTTGTGTTGGTAAGTTGCATTCTCTGAGAAGATTGTTTCATAGCTTTAAATATATAAATAAATAAATAAATAGCTGTTTTATAAAAGCATCACTTTATTAGTTTTGTCACAAGGTTTCATCTGAATGCGCATGATTTGCTGGAGTCCACCACCTATTAGAGTTGCTGATACTTCAAAGGAAACTGTATTTATATAACTTAAAATGCAATACAGTTAAAAGGTAAGATAATAAAACAGCGTGCAGTTGTTTTTAGGGTGCATCTAAAGCCAAAACGTCCCTTTGGAAGAACACAGCAGTCTTCTCGTGTTTATATCTAATTCAATTACATACAACAACATGCTGAATATAAACCAGTTCTGCCTCTAAAGTAGCATTCTGAGCACTTCATTCATTTTCCAACATAAAATGGAAATCTAAAAAATAGAAATCAAATTTCTGTGACCAGAAAAACTCATTCACTGGAGTGCCCCCATAAAGGCAACTAGTACCAAAGTCTGTATCTATATTTATCATTGCAGACATCAATGAGTGCAGGCGCTACCCTGGACGTCTTTGTGCTCACAAATGTGAGAACACTCCTGGATCCTATTACTGCACCTGTACCATGGGCTTCAAACTTTCTATTGACAGCAGGTCATGTGAAGGTAAGGAGACAAATCTACATGGGCTGACTAGCTGAAAACAATGTTCATTGTTTGTTATTTTTGCTATTCCTATTTGATTTCTCTGTTCTAGGCTTCAAGGGCTAAATTGTAATGGCTTAAGGAATTGTTTTCACTATAGTCATTTTCGAGGTGAAATATAAACGATGTCATCATAACCCCTCCTTTCTCTACATGGCTTTGTCCCTTCTAATGGCAACATCACAGAGGGGCAGTGCTGTTATAGGAGATAATAAAACACAGTAGAACAACCCCCTGCCATCCACCAACATGGAGATATTCAGACTTATGGTCACTTATTGCCTACCCACTTCTACAGCTGCTAATGTATATTTTTGTGATAGCGATTGAAGGAAGACATCTGATTTTGGTCAATAGGAATGCCTTTTCCAAATTTATGACCCAATCTTGTAGAACTGAGGTTTATGTAAGCAGACCCTACTAGTAGAAACTTGGCTGGACTGTATCAAATTTTATATTTCAGACTTAAATGAATGTGAGAGCAACCCCTGTAGCCAAGAGTGTGCCAACGTATATGGTTCCTATCAGTGTTATTGCCGTCGGGGCTATCAGCTTAGTGATATGGATGGAATCACCTGTGAAGGTAAGAAACATTTTAACTGAAAGCTGCAATTTTTTAAAGGTGGGAAGTGGACAATCCTTTTATTTTTATTCACACAAAAACAAAAATGAGATGTCATCTCTGTGGAACAGTTCCTTGTACCTGACTTAATACCAATACAAATAATATTTCATCATTTGGTTCTCATAAGTTTTCTACACAATTAAAAACTATCTCCCATCCAGGCCCCTTGAGATCAACTTGCAGGGTGTGAAGTCCTGAAAAAGTTTTATTGTTTGAGCTGAAATGTAGTTTGAGGCTTACTTTAAATATTGGAAGTGCTTTTACTTGTGGCACTAACTGGCTTACATATTTTCATCAGCTGAGGATTCTGAAAAGCTTCTAAGTACTTTTTTATACTTGACCTTTCATGAAGCATGCTCTGAACACACACAAATACAGGCATTGCTTAAAGAATTATCCTAATGGGATAGGCTTGTCTAGTGGATAGTGACTGGACTCGGACCCCAGAAGCCTGAGTTCTTTTCTTGGTTTGCCTCTGGCTCTCTTGGTGGTCTTTCACAAGACACTGCCTCAGTTTTCCCATTTTGTAAAATATGAATGAAGCTACTGACTTTCTTTGTCCTTAGACCATACGGTCTAGAGATGAGGAGTGGTACAATAAGAGTCATTCATCATCATTGTTACCTGCTTTCATGGCAAGGCTGAATTTTTGGTCTTGTTGGCCATGGACAGGTGTTCATTTCTACCACTCTAATTTCTAGGAAATTTGCAGCACTAGAAATCTTCCTAAGAGAGGGCTCATAGAGGTGTTCCAGCTTGCAGATGCCCTCTCTCCCCTGTTCCCCATGCCTTCCCCAGACTGGAGTCCCCACAGAGACTCCTCCCTATTACAGAAGAGTTGAGCATACAGCTGTTCATTCTAGCAAGAAAAACCCTCTCACAGGGGAGATCTTCCAGTTGTCAGCCTAGAACATCTTTCTCCCAAATGAGGCATGATTCTTGTGGGAGAAACTGAATTAACACCTGCATCTGAAGTGCTTTGGGTTAGAGTGAAAGGCTCTTGAGGCGAAAGAGACTTAACGGTGGGAGTCTACTACAGA